GCCAGAGCTGTTCAGTACCTCTCTCCTGTGCTACACTGTGGCCAAAACATACAGGCATTTTGCATGCCCCAAGGCACAGCAGATAAAAGGATCTCACACTTCTCACAGCTCTAATTCCTAAATGAACTGAAAGAAGCTGTACGACAGAAGCTCCGAGGCTTATGTGTAGGGTAGTAAATGAAAGCACACATGGAATATTTTCATTCGGGCATGAAACGTTACACCTCCTAAGTCAGAAGTTCCTTATTGCAGCAGCAGTAGAGCTACTGCCTTAATTCTTCCCTGCTTTTGCTTCCCTGAACCCTCTTCTCATCAGGACCACATGAGCAAGCCCTGTGTGATCACTTCAGACACGTTCCACCAGTATGTTTACCTTAGCATGGACTGGTGAAAGTGTTCTACAGAATAAGATACCCAATAATCAGAACAAATAAAGAACATAGTAAATACAAATATGAGTTCTACAGAGCTAAAAAGTACCAGAGGAGAGTAACTACATATAGACTTTTTTTCATATCTCTGAACCTTCATTCTCACACAGGAGGAAAAAAAAAAAAAAAGAAAAAAAGAAAAGAAAAAGAGGCACCATCACATGCACATGCAGCTACTTCTGCCTCCTTTCGCGTCAGTACATACCCACAGTTAACACTGATCTTTGAATAATCCGTGTGTCTTGTTTTCCTTAGTTTCTAATCATGACTTCTGCAGAACTGAATCACAGGAATTGTCAGGAATGTATCCAGAGCCCTGAATGAATAAAATTGTCATTTCAGGAGTGCATTGTTACAAACTACTTTGTTATCATGTACATGTTCAGAAGAATTGCCCATCACAATAGCCATTTAGCTACAAACTGTTAAAAATAAGAACAAGTCTGCAACCTCCCACTTTTACATTTTAAACAACAGTAAATGTTGTTTACTTTTATTTGGAAATGTAAATGTTCCCTTTGATTTGGAAGCTTAGGTTGATGACAGCACCAGATACAGTTTCACTCAGCTGAATCTCAGATTTTCTGTTTTTCTGGTATTATCTATAACTCATCTCTGTCAGTTTTACAGATACATAAGTTATGTCTCTTTTTAATATTTTCACAATTTCATGATGTTGTAACTCCATCCTCTGTTCTCCAAGTCTGCTAAACACTTAACAATGTTCAGCTAATCAGCAGAGCCAGAGAATCACATTTCCAAGACCTTTTTTTCACAGTGGGAACAGTTTCAAAGCTATTAGTTCCTACTGGCTGGCACACTAAGCAAAATAAATAAACACATAAATAAATTATTACTTCTAAATAAGCAGTTTCCAAAAGGTTCCTAACAATCATCAGCCCAGAGATAATGTTTTCTGTGAAGAAAACAGTGCAGAATGTCAGCCACTACTCAGTACATCACAGAGATCAGTACTTGACCAGTAACGCAGGGCCTCATTCTGCATATCTTTACCAGACAGTCTTCATTTAGAGAAAATATAATCTATAAAGATCACTTAAATTCATTAAAGCATTTAAGCACCATGAATTTGTTTAATTGATTTAAGTGCCTGGCCCTGAATCTCAGTCAAGGAGAATTCCATACAACTTTATCAGGCGTTTGGCATATGGGCTGTGAAAACATGCCCCTGCTTAAAACAAATAACAGAGAGCAAAGCCAAAATGTAGCAAGTATTTGCTTCTGGTAGCAAGACGGACTGGTCAGTGCCCTGCAGCATGAAAAGGTTGTGGTTTTTTTTTGTTGTTGTTGTTTTGTTTTGATACTCAGTGAGGCAAATGTGCTAGTGGACATGGTTGGTGGTGACAGTGTAGTCAGCTTCCTTGCCTTTAACCCATTTGACCATCTAAAATCGATCTTCAGCTGGGGCAGAATAAATACTTAGAGATGCCTTCTCTGCTTTTGAATGGATCTCAGCAAAGGGGAGGAGACCCTGCTGAGTTCATTATATTGAATAGTTTAATACATTTGTCTCTAAAATTGCATCATAATAACTGAGAAGAATACATTAACTGAGAAGAATGCAGCCTTTATTATTTCATACATATATTAGCTTAATGAGCCATTAAGATGTTTAGTATTTAAAGCATACTGTGAGATCTATAGCTTAAGCTTCAGAAATCAAATGTGTTAGCATGTGTTAATAGTACTCACAACACAGGAAATCTAGTCGCTCATTTACTTTTATTTCCCCTTTCATTCTATCCATAGAATACATCTATTTACAAATAAAGCAGGAGAAATCTGTAATTTGGAATGAAGTAACCTAAGTTAGGAAAGGCAAAATGTGAACCTGTATACTGGATAACAATACCCTTGTCCTGATCAGGTCCCAGAAGATTCCACTCATTTTCTCTTACACTTCCTCTGTTTTATTAACCAGAAAGCTCTTCCCTCCCTCCGATTAGAGTCACACAAGGAATCTGTTCCCCTGGAAGCAACAATATCGAGCCACAAAGCTGCTTTTGTAGTGATTTCCAGATCTTCCAAACAGGTACTCATACAGGAATCTTGCTTTTAGATGGCACCCCAGGAATTTCCCAGTACTCAGCCTGTACAAGCTAGTCATTGGTTCAGCCTTGTCACTTTTCACAGAATCACAGAATTATCTAGGTTGGAAGAGACCTCAAGATCATCAAGTCCAACCTCTGACCTAACACTAACAAGTCCTCCACTAAACCATATTTGTCTGCAAAGCCCAAAGCATTTACAGCCACTGCGGACATGTAACCAGAGGACCAAGGAAAGACAGAATACATTTGCAGAGCTGTAACTATTTTGTATCGCAGACCTCACCCATTGTATTTTTCTCCTCTGAGAAATTCACTGCATCTCCTTCCTTCTGTACAATTGCCTAAACAACAATATCAATTCCTCTGCAAAATTTCTGTGACATTATCCTTTCATAATCTTAGCATAATCATAAAGTCCTTCACTGAATGGAAAGTTACTTCCGGTAATTTCTAGGCAGAGGTGATTTTCCAGCCTCTGTTATTTTTGACAGCATTACATCAGAACTCTGGTCTGATCCTTTTTTTCTATATATAGTGAATAACTTCAGTAATATTCTTTTAAGTGAACTTTTGAGGCTCTGTTACTTTGATTTTTTCATTGCTCTATATTGAATAACTACTGCCATTGAACTAATTCAATGAGGTATATTACAATAGAGCAGCATTTGGGTTGATTAAATGTGTATCAAGTATAAAAACCTTCTCTTTCACCTTTGTTTCAAAATAACAGCATTTAATACTATATAACCACTATTATAACTAAAGGTATGGTACATGGTCATGAAGATTTATATGTGCATTATTCTAAAGTCTACTGGCTCAGTTCCTCTCATGGCTCAGCACAACTGATGAGATAAAACAAGAAACTGTGAGGTAACATTCAGGAGAAATTACGGTGCGTGAACCAAGAAGCATCTTTGTCACACCATCAAACCTTGTAGTACAACACTCCTGAAAAAGCTCAGCACCTTTGAAAGTGAGCCTTTTAGGAAGAAAAGACAGCTAAGGGGATAAACTGGATTAACACTACAAAGACTTCTGCAGGCAAAGGGGACCTTGGAGTTTTCAGTTCGCAACCTATTTTTTGTTCACCTCACTAGCTTGTCTGCTATTTTTGATTAGGACTCTTGAGTCTGCTTGAGGTAAGGTAAAATATATGTAAGATCAATTTATGTAGAGATCTACAAAAGGAAGGCCTTCAGAACATGGAAACCACTAATATTTTATTTTTTTTTTGGGGGGGGCGGAAGGGAAAGAATATTTTTCAGGGACTCTAAAACGTCAGAAGTGCCAGAATATATTACTGATTAGCAACGAAAACAATAGTTTGCCACTGGATCTCAAGGTATTTTCCAAGAAACAAACAAATAAACAACAACAAAACAGAACAACAACAAAAACTACCAAAAAATAAGCTTAATCTAACACTCTTGAAACTTAAAAACTTTATAAGCTTGGACCAACTGGTGACATCTGCATTCTGTCAGAGAAGTCTGTCAGGCCCACTTTTAAAATAAAAAAAATAAAAAAGTCAAGTTCAGGCTACCTATATCCTATATCCTTTCTGCATATTTATTTCCTTCTAAGATCCAGGAAATAACGGCAAAAATGCCTTAAAACAATAAAAGTGCTCTTAAAGACATAAATGCACTCTGACACCCAGATCTGTCCCTTACAGCCCCACTTCCTGCCTTTCTCCCAGGACATTTCACCAGCATCTCTGGGCTGCTCTTTGCCTGTGTTCACACCCTCACTTAGAATCTCAGAATCATTAAGGTTGGAAAAGACCTTCAAGGTCATCTGGTCCAACCATCCCCCTACCGCCAACGTCACCCACTGACCCATGTCCCTGAGCACCACATCCAGCCTTTCCTTAACACCCCCAGGGACAGTGACTCCACCACCTCCCTGGGCAACACCTGCCCTCACTCCAGCTGCAGGCAAGTTGCAGTTGCAGCACTCACAGCCCCATTCCCGGACATGCACACAGCACTGAGAGCCCCTTGTAGGACAGGTAGAAACAAACTTAATAAGATAGGACTCGCTGCACTGACCAGGCACAGACAAGTGTAGCAGCCAGTCAAGTATTTTCACATAACTATTTTACCAAATTTCCTATTTTTTTTTTCACATTTCTCCCTTCCTCCATACTGCCCTTTTGCTGTTGCTGCTTTGTGTGCCTTTTGTTCCTGCCCCACAAATCCCCCACCAAGCCCCGTGCACCCCACAGCCCGGCAGCACCCCCCTGGGTCTGACAGGCGATGGGCAGAGCTGCTCCAGCCACACAGCGCTGGGCTTCGCTCCTGGACGCTGGGGCCGAGACCTCGTGGCGCAGGCCGGGAGGGGCCTGGGCCAACGGTCGCAACGGTTTCTAACAGTTCCTAACGGTCGCCCGCCCGGCGCGTGACTTCGTCCCCCGCCATCACCCACCGCCCGCCCAGCCACGGGGCGGGGCTGGAGGCGGAGGCGGGCGCGCTGATAGGCTGCCGGGCGCGAGGGGGCGGGGCAAGGGGCGCGTTGGCGGGCGAGCGAGCTGCAAGATGGCGGCCGAGGGAGACTGCGCCTCAGGGGACCGCGTGGCGCTGGCGGCAGCGACCGAGGCGGTGGCGGCGGGCTGGGTGCTGGAGCTGAGCTGCTGCCGCCTGTGCCGGCACTTCGTGGAGGGCCGAGCCGCCGAGTTCAGGCGGTGGAGGGCCGTGGCGCAGGGTGAGGGGGCTCCTCCCGTCCCTTCCCCGTCAGGACGGGGCTGTCGGTTCGTCCCCTCAGCGGGGGCGGGTGGCGGCGCTGAGGAGATTTTGGGAGCCTCCGAGCTGCTGGGTGCTGAGGGAGGGCTCTGCTCGGCCTGGCTCCGTCACCAGGGTGCTGTGAAGGATGCGTGGTGTATGTACCGTCCTGTTACAGAACCTGAGGCTTCAGGTGCTGGTGGCTCAGGGATACTGAAGGGTAGAAGAGGTTTTGGTAAGGAGATGCAAAAGTTAAGGTAACTTAAATAAACCGTGTTCCTGAGTTTAAGTCCTGGCTTCTGATAGAATGCTAAAAGGTTTTGAAGTAGTTAGAATCCATCGGATGCAGGTGGAACAAAGCCTCGTGGCTGGATTGTGAATGGAAAAGTTTGTATTTGAAATGAGGAACACTTAAGAGTGAGGATTTTAAAACAAATAGTTAGAACAAATTGTCTTGACCTCAGATTTGATAGATTTACAGTGATTTTTTTCTGTTTGGAAAAAAAAAATCGGGTACCAGGTTAGAGCTTTGGAGGATTTTTTTTCTTAAGCAAAGTAAAAGGTCAAGAGAATAGCAATAGGTACGATTTATTTAAATTTTTGCAAACAACTGAATACCATGGTATGCAGAATGAATAGTAAAGAGATTAATATGAGAAATAGTGAGATTAAGAAATCTAAAGATAATGAAATGCACCAAGTGGGGGGCTGTTAGATTTCATTATTAATGGTGCTTCTCAGCCTTGGGGCTGCAGCTCAGTAGAATTGCTATGAAATTTCATGAAGACAGATGGGAAGCACGGACAAGGCACAGAGTGGAATATCTCCCAAGGAGAATGGGAAGACTTGAGGAGATTGTATTAGTAGAAACAATTTTTACAATGAATATTTGTGCAGAATACAGAGTTACACGGAACTGGGAAATAATAGAAAGTCTGGAATGTGAGAGTTCATTAACAGAGTTGGTGCTGTAATGTTATTAAGTCAAGAGTGTAATAATCTGTGGAAAAAGCTATGTGCACCCATAAGACTGCATTAGAAAAAGCTTGTTTTGTTATTGTTGGGAACACAACTGTTACTCTTGTATACATCAAAATGAGACCCTACTGAAATACTGGTTGGCAGTCAGCCTGAAAGTCAGTTTAAACTGAAGCAAATGCAAAACTGTAAAAGAAGCTATTTTGTTAGAAGATGCATAATACTTACTTGCAGCTCAGTACACTACCAAGCAGGAATAGTTTACCTGTCTAGGTAGTCTGTGGTTCAAAGACAGCATGGCAGCATTATGTGCCTTGCCTACCTTATCCTGCTTTGATGGGTCTATCACCAGAACTAGCTTGTTTAGGTATCTACATGGAACAGGGTTTCTAGATCTTCTAATGAAAAGCTAAGAAATTAAGTACATTTGAGTGGTTATTGAGAGGGGAACAATTTATATTCGAGGGCACTTATAACAAATGAATTAACAGAGAAACAGATTCTAGAAAAGCTTAATAAGTCCATGTCAATTAATAATTGTCGCATTACTTGTGCATAATTGGACCTGTTTTTCACTCGGTAAACATATCAAGGTTTCTTCTCCTTTGGAATAGCTGTAAGAGAATTTAGTGCCTGTAATCAAGACTGCTTTGTGATACAATCCAAAGCACAGGACATTTTGTTTAAAAACGCAGCCCTACCCTGAATTAACACTAGTGTAGGTGCACCATAAAAGCAAATGGAGGAGCAGAGAAAGCTGAATGATTTCAAGCCACTTGCTAAGTTGAGCTCCTTTTTCTGTTGCATTGCTCACCTGCAGCCTTCTTCCTGCTTCAGAAACTCCCAAGCTCTGGCTCCATCTTCAGGGCATGGGGATCTCTAGCAACAAACTCACTATCCAGATTTAACTGAAGCTGAACTGTGTTGCCTGCTATGGGAGATGCATAAATTTGTGCATAAATTAGTGGCACTTCACTGCTATTCTAAGCAATGTTGCTTTTTTTTTTTTTTCACTTCCGATTTTAGCTAGAGTTTTTGCATCACCTGTCCTCACAGAAACAGAATTGAAAACGTGTTCTTCGAAGCCCAAATGACAATATCCTGCTTGATAGTAGATTAAGTAATCATTCAGGGTTTTCTTAATTAGTTTGTAATTGGATACTTATCCACTGTTCTCTAGGGCATGCTCATACGCTACTGAGCAAGGAAGCCAAGTACTTGCAAGGAAACCAATGCATGTTGTGTTCTGGGTGTGTCAGGGCAAAACTGGGGGTTATGCAGGGCATGCCCTGCTGCACAATCATGGCTTTGGCTAGGCTGCCTCTGAAACATCCTGAAATAGGGTGCTCAGTCTGCAGCTGTCTTAGGTGAGCAGCTTGACAGATTCTTTGCTTTTCATTTTGAATGTTTCCATGTTGTGCTGTGAAGATGAATTACTGCATACAGCACGTTAAAATGTGAAGTTCACAGTAATCAGCACAATGGAAATAATCTCACCGCAGCTCCCTGTCTGAAATATACAGTAATCCTTGTGACCTTCCAACCCCATGAGGAGGATTTCCCTTGTGGGTTTAGGTTTCTGCCTACGCTCTGGTAGCTTTTATTGCGTTTGGTCTGCCAGTTGCCACAGCAACATTGTGAGTGTTAGCAGTCTGCTTGGGGCTCTGCTGGGTGGGCACTCCATGGAAATGTTCTCTGGAGCAGATAGTTGTCGGTCTTTTCTGCTAAGCTAGTGAGCAAAACAAACTTTTATTTGTTTATGTAAGATACTGTAGTGTTAAGTTTTTGTTTTGTTTTGTTTAAAAAAAAAAGGGTGATGCATCTTGCCACTTCTAAACTACTGTTGCAAACCGCAAGAGGAATACATTTTTATGGTCAAGTGCTTAAATATGACTTGTGTTCTTAGAACAGGGAAGAACATTAACTGATAATCTGCTAACTTTCTAAGTCATTAGGGATCTGATGAAGCATCTTTAGTCTGATAATGCATTGTCTAGTATACTTGTAGCCACACTGTGGCACTGCTGGAGCAAGACTGACTTAACTTTTTCCCTTCTTTTCCAGCTGTTATTAATGGCTTCTCCGAAATAGCTACACATCAGAAAAAAATGGTGTACCTCTGTCAGCTCTTGATAAGAATTGCAAACGGAAAAAAACTTGGTAAATGCTCTGATTTTTTTATTTTTTTGGCCACTTGCTGTTTAAGAAGATCTGAATGAACTTGCATAGATGTGTATTAGATATGCTTTCACATAGCTTCTAATGTTATGTGTATATATATAAAATGGCTGAAATCTTAAACTTAAACTGCTAGTGTTCCATATGCACCTGAGCTATATGCAGGACCAGCATTACCCTGTGATGATTTTATTGCACAAAGTTTAAATGCTTATATGCTGCATATGCTTATATGCTGGTCAAATTGTGGGTCTTTCTGTCACAGCAGCATTGACAAAAGAAATATACTTGAGAAGATTGGCCCTTAGTAAGCAATATCTGCAAGTATAAAGTGCAGAGGGGGCATTTCTTTCTGCAATTGTAAATCTAGAAATTAAAGTGGGACAGACAGTAGGACCAAGAATATGGATGAAAAGGTTAATGGCCTTTCTTTTTACAGAAGGTCATAAGACTTTTGGCTGGCAGCAGGTCTTTGGGATTTTTATTCACTGTTGTGTCTTTTGTTTGGCTGTAAGTTAGCCACAACTCACTAATTTGGCTGAGCAGCTTCTGTGTCCATGCACAAGTTTTTGGAAGACTTAACTTTGCTGCTTCATAAAACTTAGTGAGATTTAAGATTTTTAAAAGCAGTCTTGCCAGTATGAGCATTGAAGAACAAAGGGGTATTCTAGCCTAGAAGTGCCACAAAGACCTACTTTTATAAAATTAAAAGCAGCTACTCTGCTTTAATTTAATGCTGCATGCTTGGAATTGTTTAAAGCCAGTTTGGATGGGGCTTGGAGCAAGTTGGTCTGGTGGGAGGTGTCCCTGACCATGGTGGGGGGGTTGGAAGTGTATGATCTGTAACATCCTTTCCAACCCAAACCATGTATTGATAAGACAGGGAAACTGTAGAGTGTTGAGGGGAGGGGGGTGGTTATTTGGCTAGGCTGTGTTTTGTCTGGAACTGGTCACTGATCCTGCTTGCTGAGAATGTTCCCAAACCTTAATATTAGCACAATGACATGGCTGCTTCTGCTTTTTCAGTGAACAGTCCTGTGTTACGTTGTTTGAATTTCCCTCTCACTTTAACCTGTTCCAATACAACAAAAAGTTAAGACATGGTAATACAGAGAGATCAGGATTGTGCTTTGTTACAAATCCAAAGCAGCAATACTAAATGTTATGAAAATTGATGCCAAGCTTATTGTAAAAGTATTATTAATACCATCCCCAATACATAATGCTAAACGTAGCACTATTTCAAGTAGCATTTTAATTGAATGATAAGTAGAAGATGCATAATCTTTCTTAAAAATGCAACAATATTGTTATTAGCAACATCAGGAAGAAAGAGGCTCTAAAAAGGAGAAGATTGCTTCAAGTCTCTTAAACACACCTGAAAAAGGAGACTAAAAATTATTTGAGGGGAAAGGATTTGTAATGATTTATAGTACATAGGACTTCATTGTGTATATATAATGAAATATGCTTAGCTTCCTCCTTTAAGTTTTGTTTTAAATACCAGTTTCTATTTTTTTCCCCTAAGAATGCAATTTTGAAGAGGATCCAAGAATTTCACCTTTGGAATCTGCGCTGTCTTATTGGACTTTACTTGAGAGGGAAGAAAGTAAATTTGATAAGCTTCACGAAGATATTCGTCGCTTGATTCAAATTCAGGTCTGTGTTATTTATTCAAAACACTTCAGGATGCTAGCTATTCGTTCTGCTAAAACAGAGCTTGGGCTATGAACAATCCAAACTGAATTTTCCGAGTTTGTTCTGTTTCCAATTACAGTATAAACAAAGCTGTACGTGGAACCTTTCCCTATCTAGATTGGTTCCTGTTTGGCAGGTTTTGAAAGAATTTCAAACTGGGATAATTTGGAAAAAAAAAATTATATCAATTGAGATATCAATTTCATAACATTTATATCGAGCTTTAAAATATAGCTTGAATAGCTTTACTTTCAGATGAGTTTTTTTGGCCTATGAGTAATTCTCTGTATTATAACACTTCTGATTTCAGTGAGAAACACATATAAATTTACCTGTTCCTGGTAATGATGGTGGTGGTTGTTTGTTTTTTTCTTTTTTGAGAAATATGTTTTGAGATTAAAAGCGCTTGGAAAAAAAAATCTTGACCTGCTCTGAATTTCCTTAAAACTCAAACTTTCCTGTGATAAAACTCCTATATGTTCAGAAACACTTTAACAACTCCATTTTGCTGGTCTTTCCAAACGTGGTAGAACTAAGTGTGGACATGCTGTTGAACTGGAGTTAAGACAGAACAATTTATATTCATTCTTCTAAGTGTTTGTTTTTTTTTTATTTGGAGATAGCTACAAAATATGTGTGCTTAACAAGAAATAATTACCAGTTGTTTTGTTGGGTTTTTTTTTTTTTTGAATCATTGTCTGAAATATTACATGCATAATCACAAATGTGCTTCAGTGCAATGCTGAATTGGATGTGTCCTCTCTTTAACTGCGTTTAATGTGACCACTTGACATTTTTATTACTGTTGCAAATGAGAGCACTCTATTAAGTTGCACATGAGGGATATTTCACAACTGTTAGGTCTGAAAATGCCCTTCAGGGGAAGATGGAAGTAATGGTAAGGGAGATGAAAAAGGTAAGTAAGGGAAAACGTGCATCAGATTTGTCTTTAAATCCCCGCTCTTTATACAAGATGTTTAATATTATTTCAGAACTAACTGTAATAACTCAATAATTGTTGGTCATGTTTCTAAATGTATAGATCTCAGGATTCTGGAAGTCTCACAAAATCACAGAAGTGTGACCTCCATTTTTTTGTGATGGTGGTGTTTTTTTGTTGTTCTTTTTCAGGTGAAATGTATTTCAGCATATTTTATAAGTGTAACTATATTGCTTGTAGGTTGTAGCAGTCTATATGGAAAAAAGATATTTTAAGGAGGCTGCTGAAGTTCTTGAAAGGATGTTTACGGACTCGGAATCAGATAAGGTAGTAACGTGCTCTTTTTTTTTTTTTTTCTTATTTTAGGGGAGAAGAAGAGAACAGTTTCCCAAAGGTGGCAAATGCTACCTGCATAGCTTTATCCTAATTCCACTAGGTGCAATCACTTTCGTACCTGTAGCAGCTCTCAGTGCAAAAGGGTATTTGGAGAAAGGGAAATGATAGAAATAATGCATGATTTGGGGGAGTAAAATGATTGCTTTTAGCAGCATTTGTTCTTCACTGTGGGCAGCAGCGGTCTAAACTTAATCTCCTTTCCCACTTTGAATGAGAGATGAGGAATTCTGGGAAGGTGATGCTGCAGTTTTCACAGTATAATCGCGCTGGTAAAGAAATGATGGGGCCACTGCTCTAATTGGGCTGTTGACTTTTTCTGAGCCTTTGTAGCGTGGTCTGTTTGTCTTCTCCATTGGTTAGTGTTCTACAGACTGAATCATCAGAAGGAAGGAAGGGTCATTAGCGTCCATTACAGAGTGGATGTTGTTATGCCTCTTTCTGGACCAGATAACATCAGGGCTAGGGCCCTTCCTGGTTTGATGGTCATTGCTTCATGAAGATGCAAGTCTAAGTGCATGTCTGTTTAAAATAATAGCTAATGCACATGCCTGAATTTGCTGAAAACCCTAAGTCCACTTATAGTAATGACTTCAGCAACCTATAGGCCATTGCGGTAATGGGGACTGCTTATAGGAAGCTGAAAAATAGAAGAAAGAAGCAGATTGTATATAGACTTTTGACCTCTCTTTTGAATGTGTGCAGTGCTTGCGTAGGTCCTTCTTTACTTGTACTTCATTTATCAGCTAAAAGATAGAAGTACTGACAGTCCCCTCATTTTCCCCACCCTTGCATTTTGTGGAGGCAGAACATGATGGCTCACAGTGTGCTACACCACTGAGGAAAACAGGATGAAAAAAAGAACAAAGGAAGGCAAGGGCTGCAGGTGAAAAGAAGGCAGGCAAAAATGCTGCCTGTATGTTCCTCTGGTGTATTAGAACACGTGTTCTACATAAATAGTAGTATGTGTATAACAGATTCAGATAAATTTTTCAGAAGATTCATCTGTTTAGAAAATCACAGAATCATTAAGGCTGGAAAAGACCTCCAAGACCATCTGGTCCAACCATCCCCCTACTACCAATGTCATTCACTAACCCACGTCCCTAAGCACCATGCCCAACCTTTCCTTGAACACCCCCAGGGATGGTGATGCCACCAGCTCCTTGGGCAACCCATTCCAATAACTGACTGCTCTTTCTGAGAAGAAATGTCTCCTAATTTATAACCTTATTCTCCCCTGGTGCAACTTGAGGCCCTTCCATCTAGTCCTGTCACTAGTTACGTGTGAGAAGTGGTGGACCCCCAGCTCCCCACACCTTCCTTTCAGGTAGTTGTAGACTGTACTAAGGTCTTCCCTGAGCATCCTCTTCTCTAGACTAAACAACCCCAATTCCCTCAGCCACTTACAGGACTTGGATTCCAAGCTCCTCATTTGTAGCCCTTTTCTGGACACGTTCCAGGGCCTCTATGTCCTTGCACTGATGTAGGCTGAGGTAATAGTATTATTCAAGTTGGTAAACAAGAGTGCAGCCTGTACACAAGTTAGATGCTGGCTGTGTTGCTCTCTGCATGATTCAGAGTGGTTGGTAGACAAACAACGTTGTGATTAATTATGAGTACTTTTGTGCTTTTAATGTTGCTGTACTAAGTAGTCCTTTTCCTGAACACTGTAGACCTGTTTCAGTGTCAATCTGCAGAGGCAGTATATGAGAAAAGAAACCCAGTAATGAGTGTCCCTTTCTGGGTGTACGTTTTGCTCCATTTACTACACTGCTTTCAACGTTATTCATAAATGGAATGAAAGTGTACATCTCTGGGAAGTTACACCTAATATTTGGTGAGCATGTAAACAGAGCAAACTCCTGGCATTGTGCCTAGTTCACAGTAGAACCCTTTCAAACTGTAGCGTGAATTTATTCAGAAAACTACATGACAATCTTTTTTAGCTTTGTGTGGGTCCTATTTATCATAATGTTAAGATTACTGCAAGATACATACATACATATATATATATATATATATATATGTATATATGACACATGAAAATGTGCTTTTTTTAGCCTTTAAGAGTGAAGCTGGCAACCATAATCAAAAGCAAGGATCCATATATTCCCCTTCTTCAAAGCTTCAATTACGACCTTTTAATAAGTAAAGTCAAGTCTTACGTCGAACGTTTCATGAAAGAAAATGAAAAAAACTTCTTTCTACAGGTATGTCAAACTATTTTCGAAAACTTATTTCAAAAGAGATGCATACTTTCAAGGAAACTGTTTACACTAGGTTCAGTTACTGCCTTAGATGAAAGGAAAGCTTCGTCTTCCTATGGCTGATCTTATTAATTGGAAAAAAAAAAAAGTTGAATTTATGATTAGGAGAGAGTTGGTAGGAATAAGACTTCAGAGGAAGAGGACCAGTTTTGATCTTAGAACTCCTTGAAGGATAATGTAACTATTTCATGTTTATTTTGCCTTCTTTAAGTCTATAAGACTTCTTATATTAACAGTGAAAGATCAAGACCTGTTAATGTGTTTAAAAGCTTTAGGAATGTCAGAGGAGTTAGAGATTGAAAACTCTTACTGCTTTTTCCTGCAAATAAAAAAAAGCTCCTTACAAACGATCTTGCTCGAAACTGATTTAAAATTGGCAAGAACAACATTCCTCCTGCAGTTCATCTTCAGGAGGATTGTGAAGAATTTCCCATATGTTTACTCACTATAAAAGAATATTGAGTCACTCAATTACAAAAACAGACATCTAAAGGTAATAAGAGGTAAATTCTAAATAAACAAACTTGAAGTTCCTTTGGGGTTTTCATTTTATTACCAGAGAGACTAGAGAAACTCTCAAATGTATTCAGAGTATAATATGAGGAATATTTTTTTTAGTAGTTTTTACTCAGCTGCCAGTTCTCAAGTTTATTTTTCAAAGCAATTTATTTGAGTCTAAGAAGAGAGAGAGGTTTGGAGATGTCAGCAAAGGCCCCAAACTCCATACTAGCATTCCTGGGCTCTGTGTTGCTTCCCTACTGCCTGTATGCACATCCTTCTTACTGTCTGCACCAAAGTTGCAATATTCTTACTTCGGAACAATTTTTACTTTAGCCTGAATTACTCCAGGATGTAGAGGATAGCACGGTGTAAAGAGTTCACTCTTTTCTGTACAATACAAATAACTGTTTCCTGGCAGTGTACACTGTGTTCTCTATAGAAAAACACCTTAGCTTTAACTCTTTTTCTTCTTATGCTGTATGTGGAAATATAAAAGGTCTGTATTGCTAGGTTGTTCTCTAGACTGCCTTTTCTAGCTTACTATCAAGCCTGGAATCTACAAGGTTGCAGCTCCTACTGTTGATGAAATTCTTGCACTTCAAGAAACTTAGAGGTAAACTACCCTAAGAACAATCTGCACATACTTCAATGCAGAAAAAAAAAAAAAGACCATCCAAATAGGATCACTCAGGGAATACTTATAATTTTTTCTGTGTAATAACTTAGTAGTCCTTAAAAAGAACTAGTTTTAGGGAGAAGTACAATTTGAAAGTTACTGTTACTTCTTAAAATGCATTATTAGTCAATTTTTTAAATTAAATCCTTTCTACAAGTTACTTATATGGAAGCATATTCTCTCTTACACTCATGTTTTGGTACCATCAACGACTGTAAAGACAGAATTTTGAAAATCAACAGCTGAAAGATGTGGTAAGTTGAGCAGTTGTGGAATTTCTGGGAGTGGAAGTATTCTGTAACCAGGAAAAAACTTTCAGTATTTTCATGTTTGAATTAATGAAATAGAGACTGCTTTTACATTATCTGTTTTTTACAAATGTTGAGAGATTATGCAAGTTACTGTGAAGGACAAGTTAAGATTTCAAGAAGACTGAAAATTGGACAGATGACAGAAAACTAACAGGAAGCAAAGTCAAGCCCTGAAAAGAAGAAATGGATGAAAAATGGGAGCAACTGGCTAAGCAGAAAGAGAATTCATTCTGGGCCTGCAGTGAACTTGTCAACTCTGAAATGTTACGATTTTTAGTCATCTTTGACCACTGCTAAATAGATCTCCTTTCAGGTTGTGTAGACAGTGTTAGAAAGTGGTTGGCTCTGCTTAGTAATTACGGTGCACAGCTAGAGTTTTTGTATCCCTTGGGTGGTAAGTAGACCTTAAGATAGTAGAGAAGAACGTTAGTGGCGAAGTAGCATGAATGACATCATATGGACTTTTTTTAAGGTGTTGTTATATCCAGTAGATAAGAGGAACTTTGGGGAAAAGTACTAATCTCATAATACTCTAGAAATTTTATAGAATAATGGACTATCCCTCTCTCCTTGGGAAAGGAAGAAGAATCATCTTAATTTGTGGCTAAAATAATTTAGGCAGGATAGGATGTTAAAATATTTTTTGTGAATACAGGAAAAGTTGTTTTGCAAGCTTAAAGTTTGATTGGATGTACCTTTGAAGGTGTTCTAAGTATTCTTGATCTTGCCATGCTCTAACATCAGTGTAACTAGATGAATGTGTGAGGACTGTCCATTTTCAATTTGTACTCTAGTCTTAAAAAAAAAAAGACTTCAGAGTACTTCAGTAGTATTTGCAGTCTTGATCTCTGCAATGTATTTCACACATCATCAGTACGTTCAGTTCATATAAATATTACTTGTGGCTTTTACTAAAATTTCTCTGAATTACTAGCTGGTAAAGATTTTGATGGATTTCAACCTACCTCATTACAATTGTTCTGAAACAAATAACTTTAGTGATAATACCCTTTGAAGAGTCTGTGGAATAAGTACTGTTAGTAAAGCTAATGCAGAGTACACTTACCTAAATAGCAGCTTATATTTAAATTAATGTTCTGGCTGCTATAATTTTGAAGCATCCATTCCATTTCTCACAGGCAGCCATGGAGCAGGTAGAGTCTAAAGGACTGGAAGCAGTAGTGTTGCAGAATATAACTGTGAATGCCAGTGAAGAGGAAGAAAATGATTGGGAAACAACACAAAGGTATGTATTTAGCATTTTAGTGCTGAGGGGCTGTTGAGATATAACCCTGTCAGGCAGCTCATTGCCACTCAGCTGCTCACAGACTCACCCCAGGTGGGATGGGGGCGAGAATCAGAAAGGTAGAAGTGTGAGAACTCAAAGGGTTGCGATAAGGATAGTTCAGTAAGCAAAGAAAAAGCTGTACACACAAGCAAAGCAAACCAAGGAATACATTTGCTGCTTCCCTTCGGCAGGCAGGTGTTCAGCCACTTCCAGGAGAGCTGGGCTCTCCTGACATAACGGCTTTGTGGGAAGACAAACACCATCACTCCCAATGTCCCCCCCCCCCCCCTCCTTCTTTACACCAGTTTTTGTTGCTGAGCACAGTGCCACATGGTGTGGGACATCCCTTTGGTCAGTCTGGGTCAACTGTCCTGGCTGTGTCCCCTCCCAGCATCTTGTGCACTTCCAGCTGGCAGGACAGCGTAAGAAACAAGAAAAAGTCCTTGTCTCTAAATGCTGCTCTTCAACAGCTAAAAACATCTGTGTGTTAGCACCATTGTTTTCATCAAAAATACAAAACAATATCGTGTGAGCCTCTGCAAAGAAAACTAACTCTGTCCCAGCCAAAACCATGGCAGGAACATGTTTGGATAGTAACTTGAAACCTGTGGAATTAAAAGTAGAAGGAAGGACATTATATTCCAAATCACTCTCCAACAGAAAGTGAACTACTAATTTATTCTCTATTTTTAAGTATTAGCCTTTCTGTAGTTGTTATTCTTGGCATTTACATCAGATAGCTTGGCATTGAGTTCCAATACTTGCTGAAGATGCACTATTTTCAGTTTAAACAGCTGTCAGTCTTGTATAACAATAAAAACATTGGAATGCTTGTTAGAAGTTTTCATTTACACTTGATTGAGCTCGTTTTAGTCTTTAATTTCAGGCTATAGGTCATCTGATGAAGAGAGAGAACAAGGAAAGGGAATTGTGTGTTACTTTTTTCTTTACAGCTAAATGCAGGATCTACTTGCTTTTAGTGATTCTGCTATTATGATAAATAAATATGTAGCTTCACAGACAGAACATAGGGTATGACTCTGGCAATGTGAAACGTCAAAATAAATACTTTCATAAGAAGTGCTGAGGAAACTTGAAACATGTTTACCTTTTTACCCTTTGACTGTCTTTTAAGTAATGCTGATATTCTAGGTTTATTGCCACTTGCTTTTCCACTTGTTTTTGTGGTTTTTGGTCAGGATAGAGTTTGTGTTTCTGCAGTTTTATACCTACAATACTTAGCATGATTTAGTTAAGAAAACTGATTGACGTAGAATGTACAAACAAACAAAAAGTAAGGTAAGTAAAATAAATGAAATGCATTATATCTTCAAATAAATGCATGTCATGTTGTGGAAAAGTTGAAGGAGTTACTTCTGTAATTGCATAATTTTGTAAATTTCTGGAAGGAATTATTTCACATGAACAAGTTCCGTGTTCTTCGAGACTTTCAGTATTAACAGTAGCATTATAAGTAAGTAGATTGAGGTAGTTAGCGTTTGTATGCCTCTGTTTCTGTAGAGAAATCTTGGTATTTTATTTAATGTAAATACTGTTGATTCACATCAATGGCAAGTTGCTGTCTAGGAAATTATTTTTATTTATTTTAAGATTTACAGAAGAGCAACCAAGTACTACAAATCAGTTACCTGAAGATGCAGCAAAATCAAGGTAAAAATGATTTTTTGTGTGGCTTCTGGTCATACATGCTTCATGATTATTTTTTTTTTTTGTATTTTTACTTCAGTTCTGTATTCTTTGCAGGCGTCGTTCTATGAGGAAACTCAGAGCACGTAGCATTCTTCAGAGTGAGTGTTAGCTTATTTCTTATACTTTCAAGATAAAGTCATGTCAGACATTGGTTTTTCCAAATGGGTTGGTGGTTTGATAACTGCTCTCCAATATGATTGGATTCTTATAAACATGATTATGGTGAGAAGAAAACTCCTGATTTCTGTCTGCAGGTTTCTGCATGTATGGAGTGTTGCTGCATTTACAAAATGTTTTAAAGTTCCCTGGCAATTAATTTTGCAAAATCATTCTGTTTTCTGTTATGCTGTGTTTTTTGTTTTGTTTTACTAGATGGTATTCTGTACAGAAGAAAGTAGACATAATAATAAGACTTGTCTCTTTTGGGCATCCAACGTAGATAACATTGGGGTGAAGGAAGGAAAGAGGCTGTCTGACAGAAAAAAAAAAAGTTGTAGAGTAAAATGCAGGGTTAGGCTGTTCATGCATCATCCTGGTACTATTTTCTTAAAAGCTTAAGTCATGGATTTTGTCACACTTACAAGGTTCTGAAAATCTTGAATCATTAGCACCTGATTACCACAAAGAGATGATGTTATAGCCACACATGGCTAGCTGCTGTCTGACATATCTATTTGTCTACCCACAGTTATCTGTTGCTTCTGTTGTGCTTGGAAGGGTGAACTGTTAGGATAGCATGGTTACTTGCCTCAGTTAGAACCTCACATATCTTCTATGGAAAAGATAGAACCTATACAAAAAGTATAATATTTCTGACCACTGGTTAATTTCTATTCTCTCTACCTAAACTGTAAGAGATGCATATAGTAGGAATATTTTTTTTAAGCGTAAAATAAAAATTTTTCATTGGTACATAGCATTTTTTACCTAATTGCGTAAAATAACTCTTCTGTGAGCTCTGTCTCATACAAAATAGTCACTTTCTTGAATAGAGTACTTAATCCTTGGACTAAGGCGAGATTATGTGTATACATATATAAAAGTATGTTCATATATGAACACTGAAATTTTCCCACTCTGTCCAAGCATATCAAAACAGTACGTTGTAGTCTCACATAATTGTTAGCGTTTGAAATAGAACTGTAGAATTGCTAGAATGTACTGCTTTAATGTTTGACTCCTTATCAATCTGGATGTGTGTTAATTGTTTCTAGCTCTGAACAGCTTGCAAAATGTGGAAGAAGTTGTAGATAGTCAGACTTCTGGCCGAAGAAGACAGGTTTGTATTTGATTTCTATTCTAAGTAGAGAGAAAATGAATCTGCCCTGCAGTAGAATTTTGTTGTTTTTTTTTCCAGCTGTATTAGACTCAGCATTCAAAATTCTTGGGTTTAAGATTCTTTACATTATTCAAGCTGTGCTATATAGCTTCTGGGACTGTTTAAGTTCTAATTTCTGTCTTAGGGGGGAAAAAAAAAAAGTATTTCTGGTACCATCTCAAGTATTGTTGCTAATGCTCATGAGATTTGAATTTGTTCAAATATTAGTAGTGCTAAAACTTAGTCTGAGTCTTTTTAGATGTTTTTGTGAAGTTGAAAACGTTCAAGTTTTTATTTAAAAATAAAAAAAATAGTAAAACTTTGTGTTAAAGAATTTGGTATGTCATTTGCCCATAAGACGTCAAAGTTGTTTTTCTCCAACTCGGAAGCTGAATAGAGATTTAATAACTTAATACCTCAGATAAAGAAAGTTTTGATTTATTTACTTAAACTGTTTTGATTTTATAAGCCAAAAAAAAAGTAGATTTTTATAATGCTACATTTCAAATAGTCATTTGAACTCTCTTCATGATTAAACCTACTCCATTATATTCAGCAATTCTATAATTCCCTACAGGTGAAAAGTACAGACGTGTATTCCTTAATAGAAGTGAATTTGAAGCTGATTTGATGTTAGGGATTAACTGCTACAAACTGAGCTTGTATATAGCTCATTTTCTTCATTTATGATAAAATGATAAAGCACTTCTGAACAAAATTAATATTAAATAAATGTATTCCTCTTAAGAGAATCTCTTTAGAAGTAATATAAAGTCTTTCTGTTGACAGTTTGTGCCATTAACTAAATGTGTTCGTTTTAGTGCAGGCTGTTTCATTCTTCTGGTGTTCATTTTGATACTTAACTTTTCATATAATACCAAAGGATGAACTGCTTATGTTTTCTTTTCCAGACAGTCCTCGAGGAGAGTTGTAATTATTCCTATCTTTTTAAGAATTTTTAGTGAAGTTGAAGAATTGGTTAAATCTTCATTTATATTCTTTCTTCAAATTGGTTGAGGTCCTAATGAGAGTTCTAATGTTGTTAAGATACAGTACCACCATATATTGGAGGTTGAGTCCCTAGCTACATACATGTATAAACATGTAGTTCTTTATTTTCTCACAAATCTTAGGAATATTTACAACACTGAGAGTCTCTTTAGCAGTTGCAAATACAGTCAGTGCCCTAAAAACATTAAAAAAAAAAAAAAAAAAAATCAATGCTCACAGGATTTGCCTGTTACATTCAAAAGCATAATAAGTATTTTTTTCTATTTCATACATGGACAGGTATCTTGTCAGCCAGTTGCTGACAGGCATGCACACTTCTGTCAATCTTGTTTACAACATGAAGTTTGAAACTAGTTGGACCCCAATTGACACAGAATTAATGACAGCTTTATATTCATCTATTTATTTATTCAGGCAGTATTTACTGAGATGGCTACAAACAGTGAGTTGAGACCTCGGGCTTGTGCACAGATCTCATTGGAAAAAAAATGCTCTACGCTTAATTCTGTTATTATAAATTCAACCTTATTTGAAATGTAAATTTATGGAATGTATAGAAAGCTATAGAAAAGGGTATCTGATAGTAGTAAAAACTCAAAAAATTGTAAAAGCTTGAAAGAAATTAAAACTCAATCTGAACATTTAGAAAACTATGCGTTTGCTCTGATATTTATGCCATACTAGTGAGACCTCATAAATATTGCAAAGAAAGCCATGATAATTGGTCTTTTAAACAATAAATCCGCACCTCTGCTTAATTATCTGGGTTGTATAAGATAGTCCACATGCATGAAAGAATGCTGTGAATGTCAGAGCTGTTGACTTCTAGAACTTCCTTTTCCATCCAGTCCCTCTTTCAATGTTGGCATTGTTTGCTCTTGTTTTGTAAATGGCATTTCACTGCAATGGTTCAGTGCCCGTTTACAGCCTTTCATTGCTGCGTTTTTCAATTAATGGCATACAGCAGTCTGGAGTGCTATTGAAAGGAAATGTACTTTATTTTCTCATTCCTAAATTGAACTCTTATGGGATGCAAGTGTCACAGAGACGTCAGGGAGCTGTTTGTACTCAACCTATTCTCTATATGTGTATGGTCAGTCCTTTGAATTATCTAAAATCAGTCTGACAATTTGCTTAAATGTCTGAAAAATCTAAGGTTTCAGAATTTAGTCAGACTTGTATAGAAAAAATCCATAAATTTGAACTTGAAGAAAGTTTCAGAGCAAAGAGTCCCAGCATGCACAAGGGAAAGGGGATAGCTAGAACAAAACTGACTCTGAGGCATAACAAGATCTTTTGATAAGGGATGGTGCATTTACGCAGGCTGTCTGGCAAACTGAAGTTTGTTCTGCCAGCGTTCTGAGCTAGCCAAAGGTCAGATTGCTCTGGGCCAGGCACTGTGATTATGTTAGCTCAAGCACAGTGCTGCTTTATGTCTGGTCTCTCAACCAGTCTTGGTAGCTTGTAACAGCAGTGCCAGAGTCTACACAACTGCCATCCCAGAGCACAGGCAGTTTGTTGGCATGTGTGGGGAGACAACTTACTGATCAATATAGCTGCTTGGTGAAGAGGGAAAAATGGGTCGGTTTCTGATTTACCTGTACAGAAGGCTGCACAGTTACATGTTAAAGTGAAGAAATTTGTCTGCAAAGAAAGCCTGCTGTTACCAATTTTAAAAGCAGAAAACAAACAAACAAAAATGTTAACAGCAAATGTAATTAATCACTACAACAAGTAACAACAGTTGTGATTGTCTCTGTGCTGGAAGTGTTTGAATTAACTGGTGCGGTAGGTCAAGCGTAACAGTGGTACTTGAATAAAGATTATACTTAGGAAAGTTTTCTGGCATGCTGTGAAATGAGATGATCTAGATGATTCCAATGGGGTCTCTGGTCTTTTAATAATAGTTGTTTGTTTCTTTGTTTTTTAACACAATACTGTCACTGCTGATGTTGCAAAAGATTTGTGGAACATTAAGTGTTGGGTAAAGGAAGTATTTTTGATAAAGGGTAGACAATTTTAGGGAAGTGTTAGGTTTCTGATTACAAAGACAACTGAACTATTACCACTCAATTCTTTCACTGGCTAGTCAGTGAGGCATGTATCAGGGATCATAGGTTCTTGAAAAGGCACCGTTAGTTGCATTAAGTTAGAACAACTTTGAAATATAAAGTTTGTTGATATTCATGTACCTCAGCTTGAACTGTGTGTAGATTCCAAATTTTCACTTGTTGCAGAATAACCAGAATACAACTTTGATCAGGCTGAATGTTATGTCTCTTCCCCTGCAGTGACCCCCCCCTCACTGTTGCTTCACCTTCATCAGGATAAATTCAGGGGAGTGGGGGTGCAGCTAAAGAAAAAGCTGTACATGACAGTGCTGAAACTGTCACCTGGTCATCCCCTGTGCACAAATTCTTGTTGTTCTTAGAGCAGTATCTTTTAAGGCACTGTAGTCACTAGGCCTTCAGCTTGAGCCATCTACACCTCTTACTGTTCTTACGTTGTGTAAACACTTCTTCAATTTTTTACAATTAGCCTATGGATTTTACTAGCACATCCTCTCTCACATAGATGTTAGGAGCAGCTGTTTCCCCTAGCAGCTCCTGGCCACCTCCAGGAGCCCAGCTCAGTGCACCTAGAGCTGCAGTATCTGTACCACGTGGCTGAGGGACATGGCTGCAGCTTTCCCACTTGAAGGTTCAAGTAGTAGAAGATTAAAAAATACATCCCACTGAAAATGGTGTGCCTTAGGTCCTCTAGACTGCACACAAGCAGAGCAAAATCAGGAATTCATGCACTTCTTCCTGTCAGCAGGCAGATGTTTAGCTATTCCTAGGAAAGCAGGGCTCCATCGTGTCTAACATTTACTTGGGAAGACAACATCCCCATCCCCCTTCCTTCTTTCCCCCAGCCTTTATTCCTGAGCACGATGTCATAAGGTATGGAATATCTCTCTGGTCGCTTTGAGTCACCTGTCCTGGCTGGGTCCACTCGCATCTTCTTGCGCATTCCCCCAGTCTGCTCACTGGAGGGCAGCATGAGAAGCAGAAAAGCCCTTGGTGTTGTAAGCACTGCTCAGCAACTACTAAAATATTGGTGTTATTAATACAGTTTTTGTCACAAATCCAAAACACAGCACTATACCAGCTACTGTGAAGAAAATTAATTCTATCCCAGTCAAAATCAGTGCAGTTACACAACCCATTCTTCACCAAAATTGTCAGATAAACAAGATACATTAAATAGGAACAGCAATTTCAATTTTTCACGTAGTGAGGCTCTAGAAAGGACATGCTTTTAGAAATAATTCACTCCTTTGTTAATTAAATTGTGCTTACTGGTGAGATTATTAGTTGCAAATGCTTCTTTACTAGTTAGACCTGCAAAGGCCTATGATATGTTAACTATTTTGCTTCATGTTCGGTCACGTAGAACAAAACTAAATAATTGCAGTGCTTTTGATCACTTGCATGTGTAAATTTGCTGCTATGAACAGGAACACTGACTTTTTTTTGCTGTTGCACTGCAATTCCAAAATGGGTAAAGCATAGGCACTGGTGAAATGCTAAAGAGAGCTTCTTGGCTATAGTTCTAGCAGTCAAGTTCTCATGACATACACAAATATATGTGCACATCCTGTATTTGTAGAAGTCCAGCAACTAGAATTAGATTTAGATTTTTGTGTTGAAGGTGCTGGTATTCAATGCCCGGAAGAGCCCAGTGAAAACTTACCATTTATATCTGTCATGACTTAACTGTGGTCTGTGAGACCATCAGGAGCAGCAGGCTTCCTCCAGTGCAAGATGCAGAAACGAACACGGATAAGTTAAATGGAACACCTACAGAGCACAATTTTCTGTACTTCTCAGCTCAATCTCATTAAAATTTTGAGCTAACATTTTTTCTGTAAGTGGAGTCTACATTTCAGATTTTGGGGATATATCTGAACAGAACACATTATCAAGCTCCAATTAGAAATAGAAAGTGATCTTTACTTTTTAGGTATATTTTTCTTAAAACGGTTGCTCCAAATTCCTTCTTTATTTGTATAGATGTGCAGTCAGTTTGTCTGAGGAGGTATACTTAGGATGCATCAGTATGATTGCTTCAGTATTAAAGAAGGATTTGAAGATGTAAAAGATTATAGTCTGGTACAATAAGTTGTTTTAAAATAGTTTCTTTAAAGTTGTGAATTGCTATTCCAGAGTGAAATAATGACTACGTATGACTATATTAAAAATGCGCTGGTTAAAAATAATATAAGATATATAAGATCTTTAATCTTTTGTTACCTATGTATGTTTTCCTACAAAGCTGCTATATTTAAAGAAAATGTGTTTTTTTTTAATCAAGTATTAGACTCCAGCTTTCTTCTCTTCTGTGTGTACTTTCAAAATTGTATTGAGATAGTTCTGTTGAGAAACAACTAAGGAAGAACTGCTACACTGGAGAACTTAGATGTATGGAAGTGCTTGTAGATGTGTAACTGCAAGTAATTTTCTCTCCTTTTATGAGAGAAATGGCATCACTTAGAGATTAAAAATCCTGTGAGTCGTGACAGTGAGACTTTAGTAGGCTCGATAAATAAGCTAAAATAAGTATATAGGTGTAAATACCTGTCATCTGAGGGTATGGCTGATGTCACTTGTAAATCTGTATGTATGATTCTGCTTGAATCAGCATTTTAGCTTTAGGAATTGTTTTTTCTCAGCACACTAAAATTCCATTGTTGTTGGTGAATGGTGTCAAAATTCATAGTTTGCAAGTTAATCTGTCACAAAATGGTTCTTCTTTTGTGACACATGCTAGGATCAATCAGTCTGTCTTGGCTCAATTAGCTTATAAAGTAAAATTTTGGAAAGCATGTTTGGGTTGAAGCCAGACTTTGCATGCTGCCTTTCTGGTTTTCAGGATTTTTTTCCTCCTGTAACTTGTGAAATTTGAAGCATGAGTTTTTGTTCTAAGTGATGCCTGCTACTGTGTTTTAACACTTGAGTCATAACCTTTCTTGCTCTATTTAGTGTCAAGTTATGGTGCTCAAAAGAAATCAAAATGAGCCTACTGACAGTTAAAACTTGTGTTGTGTAGTAACTAGACAGCTATATAAATACTTACATATTTGCTACAAGCTTTGTTCTTACATGAATATCTTTGTTTCAGTATCCTGTATTTTCTCTGTTCTTCCCCTAGCCATGGACTCTTGAAGAAGACAAGAAACTGAAATCAGGAGTAAGGAAGTTTGGAGTGGGCAATTGGGCTAAAATTCTGGTCCATGGTGACTTCAACAACCGAACTAGTGTCATGTTAAAAGACCGTTGGAGAACACTGTCCAAGATCAAGTAAGACTAATGTGGGTAATAGGAATCAACTCTTCTCGAGCTTTCCTTACGTAAGGATCTTGTTCAGTTTTTCAGAGTAACTTCTGTTTGTCTCAGAGTCTCCAGCACTGTTGCTGCCCTAAAACATGAAACAGACGTAATGATGACTTAAATATAAAGCCTGGTCTTCTATCTACATGCAAGAGGCAGGTTAATTTTCGAAATGTGAAAATTCTTATAGTGATTGTGAAATTAATCATACATAGGGGTCTTAAGTAACAGGCAATGTGTTAGCTTGATAGAGACTTTTAATAGAGAGTCAAGTGTTCTGTAGTTTTTAAAGGCTTGTATCTGGAATCAGATGAAGCTCTTTATCGTTTTAGTTTCTACTGTAGTCATTCCAATCTGTTTTCACCTCACTTTGAAATTTCAGTCAGACTTGTCATCTCTGTCAGTAAGTCATACAAAAAATATGTATGTATTGTTATTGCTAATTTTTCTGTTTAAAAATATAGTACCCCATGTAAGTTTATGTTTATAAATGTTAAAGGTTCTCTGTATGAATCAGAGGGAAAACATGCTGGGGTATTTTTATTTATTTATTTTTTTTTTTTTAGAATTAAGCTTAAGTACCAGAAGGAAGATTATTTTGAAATTATTTCTATTAGCATAATAGCAGTTACTATCTTGCAGAAGAGAATGGAAAAGATACGGAAGTAACAGCATGATACTAGCTCTTAACTTCTTATGACTATTTTGTGCTACCTACCCTGTCTTGAGAAGTGGCATTCTTCTGGACCAGCAGAAAAGGGGAAGCTCCTTCCTTAGAAAGCCAAAGCGGGACTCTGTTCTGGCACTGATAGCACAGCCCATGAAACAGGTTTTATTTTACCTACACTCTCTGCAGCACTAGCAAGCACAGATACCCTCTGATGGGTAGCTGCCTGCATCAAGGTGTCAGTTGGTTCCTGTAACTGTCCTGTTCATGAGAGACTGTAAGAGGTGGGTGGTGGTGCTATGCTGCCTCTTTTGCTTTGGATTGTATGGAAAAGAATTCTAGGACCTCAGAAAACACACACTTCCCACTGTCATACTAGTTTGAATCTAGAACTTAAATATCACAGCATTCTTTTAAAAGTGGAATCTCTTCAGTTCAGGTGTTTTCTGGGTTGTTGTCCTTGGAGATTTTACAAGAACCTATTAAGGAAAAGCATCCATCTGAACTGGTCATAATAAAATAAAATTCTCAGAGGTGTTCTTCGTGGTTACAAAAGAAGAAATACATTCTTCATGGCAGAAATGTTCCTGAAGTATTCAGATCATCTCTGCACTTTCTGTTTTGTAAGCCTGTTTGCATTGAGATTAAATGGTTAAGTATCGTTAGAAAGGTTTGTGTCCTACTCTTAAATGTGGAAAGGACCTGAGACGGATCACCTTCCTAATTCTTGCCAACACGTTCAGGTTTCTTTTTGCAACTGTGGCACACAATTGTTTTTAGGTTCCACAGAGATACTGCGTGCCTTAACAGTAAACTTCTCAACCTTAAGGCATCGTTTCTTTTTAGGACACATAGTGAATTTCACAAGCTTGATAAAATACGGATTATGCACTTCAGCAAGGAATGTTAGAGCAGCTGTAAGCCAACAATTCAAAACAAAAACAAACATAGCAGGTGTGTGACAAGTGAGACCTGCAGTGTGCAGTCTCTTCAATGGCTGTAATGATAATTCAACACAAATAATAGGTATTAAAACAAGGATTTGAGCTACATGCTTAGCACCCTTGCCTATGCTCTAATATTGTAGGTTTCTGTGTTAATCATTGTACATGAGCAAGTTTAACTACTAAGAAGTGATTTTTTGGCTTTTAGCCAAGGCTTTAGTCATGACTGCTTATTCCTAGATGCAAGATTAATTTTTTTTTTTTTTAGTTGTAGCAAGTGAATTGCTGTAGCAAAATCCTAGTCAAGGCAGCTTAAATAAATTACCGTTCATTAAGGAAATGGGTCTTTTCAAGACTGTTTGCTTCTTTGCAGAAATCTTGTTTACATTTGTCTGCCATAAAATTTACTTTGTATATTAGTAATATGAAGTCCTTAGCGAGACTACTTCCTTAATGACACTGACTACTCTCACATTTTTATGAGGGTGGCTGAACATGGAAACAGCAATGTAGACAAAAAATACTTACCCACTTGCAGTATAAACAACTGTCTAGATGATATTGGGAAGGAACAAAGGATCTAAACTCAAGCCTGGCTTTAGCTCGCAAACTTTCATTTTTATTCACCCTTACAATTTAATGATGATAGTAACCATTCCCAGAGCTGAGAACATTTGGCTGGCTCACTACTGAGTAGGATCGGTGCCTGTGAACAGGACTATAGCCTGTAAAGAATGAGAACCTTAGAAAAAGAAGCTACTATGGTTAGAAACATTAGCTCTTTAATTACGAACAGAAACATAGGAACTTGCTTACAGCATTCTAGTACAAAGATCAGTCTTAGCGTTTTGTATTCAGGCAAAGAGCTTTGCCCAAAATACTTCTTCCAAAAGTTTGACTCCTTTAAAGTTCATTTAGGCTCCACAAAATACAGCAGAAAGATGCAGGTTTCTTGGCATTGGTGTTAATTTTCTTATTTTTTGTTGTTACTATTTTAAAGGTCTTCTAAACTTTTACGTAAAAATAAAGCTATGCACAAGGGGACATGAACACTGTTCCAGTTGCCGAATCTTCTTCCAGGTTCCTTGGCAGCGAGAGTTGCCAACTGCTTCCCAGCGTAAGATTTTACCTCTGAAATGTGATAATAAGTGAGTAATTAAAAATTAATGTGTTTACAAACACACACAAAAAAATGTTTATTTCATGTTAGTAGGTTGTGTTCTATAATGTTATTTGAGAGTAGATTTGCCTAACAATGTAATATGTTAATTAGTTCAAAAGCATTTTGAAGACTAAGATGTTTATTATACTTGTAGGCATTCTAGAGCAAGCACTAAGTTCCTACGTAGGGTATACAGGATGATGGGTTGAGTAAACAGTTGTATAGGTATTACATAGCATGCGTCTTAAGTGATAGATACATGGAGATATGTATAAAATATATAGATTAAGTAAAAACACGTTACAAATGTTAAATGCCTTCTTTCAATACTAGTGTTCTAGAAACAGGGTTATGGATTATGGCAGAAAACAGACTTTTTTAAGTAAGAGTGCCCATAGCTGTAAAAAGACCTCTTGCACTACAGAAGTTGCATTGTCCCCATACGATAGTAAGTAAAGCATTCACACTGAACTTTATATTGCAATTACCAATTTTATCAGGGTGTTAAATACATCAGTATTTGAAAATTTTGCAAAGTATTTTACACAGCAGTTTCTGTGAAAACTGGAATCCTTAATTTTTTAGGTATAATAAGCACAGCTTTTAATGAGACCTTAAGTCTTAAGTTCTGTATTGGGTTTTGGTACAGAAGACTGCAAAAAAAAAACAGGTTCTCTTTACCCATCTGCATTATGGCCATCTCCAGAACAACGATGAGTGTCAGTGTTCATAGCTGGAGGCTGGCAAGCCACACATACAGTATGACCTTCTCGTAGGTACTGCATCCATCGAGCATATGGCCGATTCTCCAAAGCACAATAGTGTGAAAGTGATTCAGTTTTAAATTCCACACAGTAACTGCTCAGAAAGAAAAGTATTGTATTAGCTGTGATTGCTAAAGCACAAGCTAGATAGAAACTTCAAATGTACTTATATCACACAGGTGGTTATTTGTGAGGTACAGGTTAGACATCCTTGTTGCTAAAAAAAAAAAAAAAAAAAGTCTGTTTCTGACCCTAACCTGAGCAATGACATCTTTAAAACATTAAGCAAATTGTTTCCCACATTCCATGCCACAGTCCAATGCTTTATGGATTTCTCATTTTCTGGTTGTGTTCTGTATTCTTAAATTATGTTGAAAAACAGACCTCAGTAACCTGTATTTTTTTTCTTCTATGAGTACTAAGAGAGAAAATGGGAGAAAAGCTTTAAGAATACCTATAAGCTTTACTGTTCTGGGGAGAGCAGCATAGGGAAAAGCATTATGAGCATTACAGAACCAGTGACAACCCTCTCTACTGGTAAACAAGAGATTTTTATTGCTTTTCTTGTCAATGTTAAAAACAAACTCGTGAGACCAATTGCATCCAGCCTGTTTTGTTTGTTCAGAGATCTAAGTCTAATATCTTAGGCTTACACTTATGGATATTACTGAGTTTGGGTTTAGCCTTATTTACCGTTTGCTTTCAAAAGGTTCTATCCTCAAATTTGCCACGACCCCAATACTTGATTCAGGACAATTAACAAGTAACAAAGAACATCTAGAAAATGCAAATGAACTGCAGGAGAGAAAAACAGTACAAGCTGTAGCTTGTTGAATTACGGCAAATTTAATTATATTTTTCTTTGTAGCCAGCTGTTGGCTATGGAACAAGATGACCCACATGCATATATGATAAATAGATTACCCAGCTTCTTCTTTGTCTGAGGACCAGGAAGAAGATGCTGCTCGTCGTTTTCTTTCTTTACCATATTCAGAGGTAGTTATGAAAGCAGGGACTGAGGAAGAAAACAGGCAGCAAGACACAGCTGAGTCATATTTCAACTACTGTAACAGTGGGTAAATGAATCAGAGCTTGTGGATGGTGATGCTGTCTGGCTTTATTGGAAAAGTGATAAAGTGTTAGCAACATCAGGCTTCGACCTCCTTCCCTACTGCTAAATTCTCTCCATATTAAGAAGAAATATATCTAGCAATGACTGCCATCTAGTCCATGAGGAAATAGGATGGGCTGGAATCCTACAATGACTCTGTTTCCTGTTTTGTACCAAATCTGTGTTCTAACTGTACAGAGATAAATTGATACTGCAGGGCTTAAGAAACTGAAGTAATGTTTGCAGCTTAGTTGTTTACTTAAATGAATCAAGACTGAGTAGCAAATGACAGTAGAAAACACGGTTTAAAATTTTATTTTTAACCAAATAGCTGCAGATTGTTGGTTGTTTTTTTTTTTTCTGTATGTTTACTTCAGTGAAAACAATGAAGGCTCTGAGGGGGACAGGTGTCCAGATAAAGCAAAGAGAGAATACCATGTTCATGTCCGCACTCCTGGCCCTGGTGAGTCAGGTATTCCAGGCAGCCAGCCTTCTCCTCCAGAGCAGGACACGGTTCCCCACCGTTTTTAGGTTCCTGTTGTATGTAGCGCCTGCGTAGTCGTAGGTTGGGTTTGCACTGCTCTGCACAGCCACTCCAGTGACTCCACTCCCCAACAACGCATGGAAGAGCTGAAAAGCAATATTGAAATACCACGAGTAAAGACTTCAGTTTTATCATAAGTGCTCTCAAAAGCTTAAGTAATGCAACCGTGCCTGTTTTTTTTCTTTCTTACTTGCAATTTTGATTTTGTTTAGTCTCAAAGCAATGCGGGGATGTGTGCAGGGTTGTATTTCTGTGTTTGTACTGATACAGTTACAGATATTTAAATGTTCTAAATAAAGCGTTTAAAAGTGCAATCTCAAGGCCATTTTTTGCTCATTCTCAAATATAGAATAGTCCACTGGATAATCGAATTTTAGTTCACATGGATCGCAGACTTCCTCTGAACTTAACCCAAATGTCTTCCAAAACATTATGGGGCAACTGCCATTATTTTGAAAGTGAACTTTGAATCATAAGAAACCGCATTCCTCTCGTGCAGAGCATTGAGAGCAGAAGTATCATACACTTGCATCCTTGATCTATCCTAAACCTGCTTAATAATCAGTGGTATGGACTTCTTCCTTTATCTGTTAAACTGGCATATATTAGGTGAGTTAACTGAAGGTTTCAGATGGGGGGAAAAAAAAGAGAAATGCTTTGTTTTGTATTCTGTGGTATTTCTCCTGTAACTATTGAAACCTTTAGCCCACTTACAGATTTTGACACCTTTTTTGATTAATGAACATTCAAGTTCTTAAGAAAAAAATAATAATCATCACACCATGTAGAGAATGAGCCCTTATTTCATATTTGTTACTTTTCACAGCCTTTCCAAGAGGTATAAATGACAGACTAAGCATCTGCTAGTTTTGATACTGTCTTGAATCTCAAAAATGCTCAGATCTACCCTATCTGTTACCCACTAGCCAATTCCTTCCTTATTTTATTCTCTGTAGTGCATCTACTAATAATGGCATGCTCCCTGTAGCTCTAATTTACATTAAGCATGATAAGTATTTCTCCAGTCTAGACTTCTTCCCTTGAATTTTCTATTTATATTCTGACAAAATGGTAGCTCTGTCTTAGCCTAGCCAATGTAAGCATGGGCAGCATGTCAACTGTCTTCCAGATACAAATAATCTTCCCTGGAAGAAAAGGTTTTGCAGCCCAATTCCCAGAAAAGAGGTGATGAATGTGTTATTCCTGAGTAAGAAGCTAGGTAACACTGAAGTCTTCGCTTTATTTGTCCATTAACCTTAGTACAGAACACCAAGTCCCAGGTTTTGAAAGCTCTGTGGTCTAACAATTTTGTTTTTAGTAGTCAAAAAGAACACTACAGCTCTTCAACACCTGAGGATAATTTTTTGGGTGTTTACCAAAGGAACAGATACATGTACAGTCCCTCCAAGAAGGAACTTCAAGTCCGTGCAGCCTGGGCAGGCAGAGCACTGAAAGGACAGGTAAGAAAAATGGCTTGCACAGGGGCATCTATCAAGAAGACGAATCCTCCAAGGACAAGCAGTTGTTTCTCTACATGATGAGTACTTAACCTGTGGCCTCCCAGGATATTTGATCTGAGCAGCAGCCCATTCCCAGCAGCCACTTTTGCTGGGAGGCCATCTGGTAAGTGGGTCCAGGCTGAGCAGGTGTGTTCCTCTGGGCTGTGCCTGTATCTGTCCAGGGCCTGCAGACTATGGTACTCGGTGAGCAGGTAAGGCTGTGTCTCCTGCTTACCTCGACCATGAAGTAAAACAAGCCCTCTAAACACTGCAGCACTGTGTACAGGTCCATGCTGCCTAATATTAGCTGCCTTTTTGGTAGGTTTATTTTTCAATAAAATTCTAATTATTGCCATGTAAATTAAGTACTATCACAGATGGTCTTATAAAAAAAAACGTGCCTGTGCTAATACTACAGTTTCTTATTGATATAGGAATTCCCTAGTTCTTCAAACACTTGTTTTCATTGCACATTGCAAATAGGCTTAAAATTATTTTCTGTTCAGCATGAATCACATTTTTCTGTGCTCTCCCACTCCTTTAAAGGCAGTCTTTCAACATGGTACTTAGGAAATGGTACGAAATATGTTATAATCAATAGTTGGGGTATCTTCAATTGGTTCTGAATTGTTTTGAGTTGTACCTCTCATTATCTAGTTAAATGAAGCTTTTGCCTTTCCCATGCACGCTGTTTCCCATCAGCTTGCAACTGGAACATATCACATGTTTTGGATCGTATTTTTTTTTCTGTATTTCCTGATTACAATTTAAATCCTCAGGAAGCTTTACAGCTTAACCGCTAGTTACATTCTTTTATCGGTGTGGCAGGAAACTGATGCGCCCAAGCTAGTCATTCAGAAAAATACTGCGTGCCCTCTGGGACTCTGCCAGTATGAGAAGTGGGGAAGGAGGAATAAAATCTGATAACCTTGTTGGTGTGCGTGACTGTTTTCGTAAGACACAGAAAATCCCGGGTTTGCCCTGTCACTAAATCTCTAATTTCCTAGAGCTCTACAGACATCATAAAGCAGATAAAACCCCTGCAGAGGCTACCTGGCAGATGTCCATACCACACTGTTGCAACTCCCCTCCTTCCCTTTCACTTTGCACCTGTTCTGACCAAACTGCCTGCTTTCTGGGTGACTCAACAGCAACAGGCATACGAGCAATCAAGGACTCTTTGAACTAAAAAAGAAAGAAAAAGAAAAATGGTGATAGTATAAATGCCTTAGACCTCCCCGTGGGATACCCAGGACAAGTGCTATCTGTATTACAGACATAACAGACTTTTGCCACCTGGCCATAGGGCGAGAAAACAGTCTGTGGCCACATTTTATTTAATTGTACAAGCATTGATGTCAATATCTCACCACACAGCTTAATTCCACCCACAGGACATAACTGTCATCTAGCCTGGCTTCCTTATCTGTTGCCTCTGTTCTGCATTGGCTGTAAGAATGACCTGCAGAAGCAAGAACTCTCATGTCATTTTAATCGCATGGTAGCACCTTGATTTGTTGATAATATCAGGTCTACATCACATTTTCTACACAGGAATCTCCCAAAGGGATTGAGCAGCTGCATAACAGATAAAGGGATGACTTCACATTTTACTGGAACTAAACCAGGCTGACGGTGAACTAGTGGTCATCTGCAGCAAAACATGGCAATTTTATGATCGTAAAGATTGAGAAGACGTATGAATTGCCTCAGTCATGTGGAATAATAAGAATATTGGGTTGCTAGAATGGAATTCAGCCAGAGGGACAGTGATGTCGCTCATGAACTCAGTACCCAGTAATTAGTAAGGGACAGTACATCGTTTTGTGCCTCATTGGAAAGATGTCAAGTTCTCCAACATGACTGAGAATATGTCCCAGAGCTGACGTAAAAGTAACGGTGCCATCTCAAACACACACACTCAAAAAGTGTCAGGGTCCCTTACCTACATCCTTATGGTCTCTGTCTAGGTTTCCATTGGACCGGCTTAGTTAACACAGTGCTGGTAGATGATCGTCCACTAAAAGAATGGGCGTTAATTTGGAAGAGAAGGATACAAGTCAAAAGAACCTGAAGGATGGGCTTTGTGCTCAGGGACCTACCAAAACACAGAAGCTAATGAGACACTTGGAATTTCAAAAGTGCACAGAAAAATTGCATTGCTTCCCTACGAAATACAGCTTGAGTGGTCAGGACTTCTTTTGTTTTAATTTTATATAATGCCCTGTGAATCAATTTTTTTTCTGAGTCACACCGTATTTATTTTTTTCCCCATCTCCGGAACAAAAAGGATTACAGTATCTTCACTGAATCACTGCACAGCATATGTTGTAATGTGTAAAGGTCTGTGGATTTTCTCGGAATAACCATTTCCATTCAAATGATGGGGTCATTCTTTTACCAAGCTTTCTCATTGTACAGTACTTTCTGTTTAAAATGCTCTTGATGCACAAAAATACCCATTCTTTATTGCTAGAGCTATAGGGAAGTTATTTTTAAAGAACTGTAAGGAAATTTACTTCAAAACCCTTGGACACAGGTTCGGCAGCCCACAGACTTCTGCCGAGCCATCTATTTATAAAGTACCAGGCATCCCATGACTTTTAGGAATGACAGAATTTAACCGTAGTGTTGGCAGGTTTAGAATACCTAAATACTCACGTTGGTTTCTATTATTTTGAAGCATTGTTTTTGTATGATGCCGAGAACACTTCTTGATCAGATACGTATTTGAAGATGTAGACGCTTTCCCCAAATACTTTGTTCTGTACAAGTATTTGCAAAAGGATGTCATTTCTGCTTGTGCTGAAACCGTGAGTGGGGAATAGGATGACAAAAAAAGCTGTAGCACAAGAGCAATCAGTTGCCTTCCCGCACATTCCTGTTTTTTGGTTTTTTTTAACCTCTAAATCTGAAACAGAGCAAACTGTGCCATCAACACCCTTGGTTTCATTCCATACACAAACATAACACTTAGAAACACATCACGGTGAAATTTCAGAACCCAGCAGGAACAAAAACTACTTTAAAACTGGACTCCATCCTTGTCCACATTGATGAAGAATCACACTGCACTTTAGTATTTTTGGTTATACAAGCGAGAACTTGCTGGCTGTTTGCAATAAAAAGTACCTGATCATGTGCCTTCCTGTGGTCAGTTTTGTGGTTTAGAGACGTATGAGTTAGAGGACCGCCTGTCTGGGCTGCCAAAATCCTGTCCTGCTGTCCTTGCTTGCACTAATGCAGGTGCTCACGGGGCTAGGCAGGGAGGGGTTCAAACCAGCCAGAAATGGACAAAGCAGAAAACAGCAACAGCTCCCTGCTGGTTTAGCTCCCCAGAGGGGCTAGCCAGTGATTCCAGCTCTGGTGTCAGAGGGACAGACAGACAGCCACGGCAGACAGACAACCATGGCTGCAGGTCCCTGCCCAGACGCGGAGCACCTGCTGCCCCCACGGGGCACAGCTGAAGGACCACACAAACACATCACGCGTTTCAAGGCCACCACGATTGAGCCCAACAACAAATACGGCCTCAGTAACAACAAGGCACCTGACTGAAGTCATGGAAAGAAAACTGTCTGAACTAGCACTTTTCACCCACAAGCTTGAGCCTCTTTTTGAAGAGCGTGGATTTTTTAATCAGATTACAGCTCCATCTTAACGCTAGCACTGTGCATCTTTATTAGCTTTCTCCTGTCATATTTGAATTTCAATTAATGTCACTTGGTTTACTGAAAAGACACAGCATGCTATGACTGCAGGACAAGAAAGCACCTTGTCAGTTCTCCCCCTATTGTTTTTCCTGACCAAGAGAT